CTTTACAATTAAAATAAAATATTTATTAACAATTAAAAAACATTGATTTTAATAGTAATAAACCTCTTCTATCAATGTAGTCAGACACAGTAGCAAAGCTATGGTAGAGATAACTTTAAAATTAATATTCAAACTAAAAAAATTTGAGATCAATCATTCGATAGATTTAAAATTGAAATGAATGTCAAATGAATTGTTTATTAGATGTATAATGTGTATAATTTAAACACAATTAACCACCAAGTTGACTATTCAATCACATTTTACCTAGAAGACTTTAAATGATCCGGAAAGTAACGTCAGAGAATGAACGACAAGCCTTGACGGAAATCATCATTGTGATCACGATAGCATCACAATAAATTGGCGTCTTGATTTCTTGGAATTTAATTTCGACTGGACAAGCTATCGAGCCAAGTTTGCAAACGACGAGGAAAAAGAGAAGAAAGACAACAGGCAAGAAAAGTCCAAGAGACGTCGGCACGAGTCAGGGAAAAGAAGAAGAGTATCACGATTCTTCTCTTCCAAGTCTCTTCCTCTTGGTCAATTTCACGCTCGACAGAGCTGCGAGTTCAACTTTACTATACACTCTCGTATAATTTGTAAATCGATGTTAGAGATTAATGCCGACGACACGCCCTGCAAAAGGGAGCGATTCTTCAGGCGGTTTCTCTTTTAATCGTATTAAAACCACCACCAGGATCCACACCCTCCAGCTAAGATCAGTCACAGAACATCTAGCGATCAATAACTAAGTTCAAGCTTAAATTATTGGATTGCAATCATTTTTTTGCATATTGGTGTGGCTATTCATTTTAATTACAAACTGGTTTGCATCTTTAAAATATTTTTTTAACTTCCCATTAGAAAGTTATTATAATGGGATCGATTTTTGAAATTCGTAATTTTATTATATCTTTACGTTTTGAGATATTTTAAAGCATGTTAGAAGGTTTTAAAATGAATGTATGTACGTACGTACAATTGTACGTACGTATGTCAGGTTTTTTTTCATTTTCAATATCTCGAGAACCAGTAAAGATATCGACTTCAGACTTATTTCCTTTTAAAGATAATACAATGAAAAAGGTTTAAAAGTAGTTGGAACAAATTCGGTCTAATAGTTTTTTGTTTATAACAAAAAGAGTGTAAAATAAGTAGAGTAAAGAAGACATTAGAAATAGGCTCTACTTATTAAGTAATTAATATTGTTTAAAATTGATCTCAATATCAATAAAATATTATTGCTAATGACTTTGCCTTACTTCCAACAATTATATATTGTTTATAACAATTTCAATTTACTATAAACAATAAAAATTCAAAGAAACTATCAAACTCAAGAAAAGATTCAAGCCACTGGACCTACATGTAGGATTCTAAAAGCAAGAATGGAAAAAATTCTCTAGCTTTATGTAAAATAAACTTATTAACAATATTAATAATATAAACTAGCATAATTGCTTCATAAAACAGATTGTAGCTGACCTTTAAATTAAAACATTTCAGCTTAATATCAAGCTCAAAATACACTTAATGACCTTTTTTTTGATAGCTAAACGATAGCAAGTTGATTTTATTAATTTTCCAAGATCTTGTATGTTAAAATAACTGCTAAAATAGACTATCAATTAGCTGGATCAGCAAGACTCTTTTTCTTCATGTAGAATTCTAGTTACATACTTGGATTAAAAAGCGAAAAATCCCAATAAACATTTTCTATCCAATTTACAAGTTGATGTCTTACTAACAAACCTGTTAATTGATTCTGCGAAAAAATTCGAATCTAACGTTACATCTGGTTGATTCACAGTCCGGATGTGTAGAAGTGATTGATTATTTTTATATGTTATGTCAAGAATTAAAGAAAAAACAGTTTTAATCTTTTAAAAGATTTGTCTTGATGATACAGCTCAGAATAATATAGTGTTCCCTTGGGAATGACAAACTTTTACTTGCGACCTTGTATATATCTGTAGTCTGTAACGAGAGGTGTGCTTGATAGAATGTACGAACTAACATCGTGTGTCTTCTTGATACGTCAAGGCTTAACGTATCAAGTTCTTTTCTAGCTTTGATATCTAGTCTGACCATCCAGTAGCATGTCATACTTGTTTAGAACATTACATGACAAAATTAGATTATCATTTTATTACTTAATAAATGAGATTAAGCTCTACAAATGATCATCTTTCTTTACAACAAACCAGAATATTTTCTATATTAAAATTATTTTAAGCTTTTAAATAATAATATTTAACAAAAAGTAAACTTTTAGATTCTTTTAAATTTTTTAAAACAATTTTAATTATTAATAAATTTATTTTAATGACTAGCAAACTCAGTTAAACATGATTTTTCTTTAATAAATTATTTTAAAAGCTTCGACATTTAATAAACTTCAATGAAACTGCAGACTTATAAATTCACAAGATTAAAAGAGAATGTTTTAAATAAAGTAAAAGTTCCAACAACATTACGAGTGCATCTCGTAACTTTGTTCATTGCTCATGAGTGTATGAATCATCAATACATTCCAGGGATAAAAGTAAAATTTTAAATAAAAAAAAAAAGCTATCATTAAAAACTATAAAAATGTAAATTTGTACAAAGGCATTTAGATTTTACGGAAAAAGTAACACAAGTCTTTACTTTATAGACTTGAAATGGAAATAATTTAACATTTCCATGTGAACACGATCAGATGTACAGATTGAATGACAAGTTATGGAAATTTATGGCTAGCATAATAATAGTATGATGTTTAAAGAATAAAAATAAAAAAGGAAATAAAAAAAAAAAATATCTTTGGATTGCGAGCTATGTGACAAACCAGAATGAACTGAGAGGTGACAAAGATTTCTCTCTTATTCGCCCACTTGTTTTTCTTCTCTTCTTGGATCAGACTACTACCATCTATAGCTCGTGTGAGCTGTGCAAACTACCTTCAACCTACATACGTGCCACGCGACGTACGTCAGTTACCTACTGGACCTTTACTTTTGGATTTTTATTACCAACTCAGACTACTTGTGCAATTCGACCCACGCATTTACTATGCTCTAATCTGTCAGTATTTTAGAAAAAAAAAGAACATTATTGCTAAACAACTCTAGATAGAATTTAAAAAAAAATGTATGTATATATTTTATTGGCAAAATTATGCAAACTTTGAATGTAAGTGATATAATTGGTTGGCTAATCTTAAAACCTTTTAACAGAACGATTTATGACTTGACAGAGAATCATTTAAATGCATTCATAACTTTTTCATTCATGTCTTCAACTTTTCATTCATCCAAAAATGAGTAGTCATCGAGTTTTTGTGAGGTTCATAAAAATTTGAAGAATGGGCTACTTATATGTTGGAATTTTAATTCATCATTTGAATAATAATAATCAATGAAAATTTTTTATAAATAAATGTTTTTTTTTCAATTGAGAAATTTGAATAAAAACTATGTGAATAATTTGTCTTTGCTTTGATCTTTTAATTTAAAAAAATACTTTTTTTTATCATTTCTTTTAAATAGATTTATTATGAATAAAAATAACTTATTGTCCCTAAAAACAGATTTCAGTTCAACTTTACCGATAAAAAAAATTATTATGAAATGATTTCTCTTTTGTTACTATTTAATGATGATAACAATAATCTATTTAGTTGGGATTTAATAATAAAATTAAAAATATCAAAAATGAATAAATAAATAAAAATTTTCAAGTTATTTTAATTTTGTAAAAAATTATACTAACCAAAGTAATTTGTATTTTACTATTTAATTTTTCATTTTAAATTTCTTTTTGAAAGGTTTCGAGTTACAGAGAAACTAGAAAAATATTAAAAATTAATTCTATCAGATCATTTACTAATCATGAATAACAAATGACCACTGTCATATTTAAATAAATATAAATAATAAATATTTATTAAGCATATTAACTATAAATAGACTGATCTCATAATAATGAAAAATACTAAACAGGTTTTAATTTACACTTTGTAATCCAGGTATTTTCAATAACATCAAATAAAAATCATCAACATCATATTCATCAATAAATAAATTACTCAAAATATATTACATAAAAAAAATTATCTAATAAATTAATCATCCAAAACTATGACAATAAATTTAATCAATATATTATGTATAAAATTGATTACTGTATAATGAAAGTTTTATTCAATAATCCAACCAATTATTTAGCAACCCATTATTAAAGACCATCGATCACAGCCTTATCAAATAGAACACTTTATCAAGGCCATAATCAACTTAAATGATCTCTTTAATCCTCACGAGCTTCTAGTTTATTTTTTTTTTCACGATAATAAACCTTTGAAACAGTTGTGTTGTCTCGTTATCGATGGTATTTCCAACTAAATAAGAATCTCTAGTCATTCAGAAGCTTAAAGAGATAAATAGCAAAACGTTTAAATTGCAATTCATAAATAAGTCATGGATGAATTGCAAGGTTCTTGTAGTTAACTAACGTCATGTTGTTTACTTAGAACGAATATTTCCTTCTTCAAAGAGAGCCTACATCATCTGCTAAATGTGTCTACAATCAGTGTTCACTTGATATTTATTATTCTTTTAATAAAAGATCAACTTCTAAAAGACCAATCAACATTTTGCATTGCTACTTAATTACAACAACTCATATTATTTATTATCATGTTAAACTTTATTATTCCTACCATGTAATTTCGAATACTTAAACGAGTCATTTTATATGCAATACAGTTGAACACTTAGCAATAATATCTTACTCAAGTTGATGCAAATTTATTCATCTAATTGACAAGTTTATTATGATGGCACTTGAGTGGTTAATATTACTAAATATTCTTTTAAAAATTTATTGTTGAAATTTTTTGGATATATATTTAATAAACCATAAGTCATATGTATTTAAATTCCTTAATAATGATGCTTTTTGAATATAATTAACTTTAATTTAAAATTGTTCATTAAAATATTTTAATTACTCACCTTTTTCAAATGTTTATTCACCCATTTAGTGAAAGTTTTCTTCTGGATGGCATCACGTTCATCTATAAACACCATTAATTTTGTTGAAAGAGAAAAAAGATGATAATTTTAAATTCAAGTATGTATCAATAAACCGTTATGCTTTAATCACTATACAGCTAGGAAGGAACTCAATTAACCTTAGACCAAGACAATCACTCGATAAACATCACAGAGCGCCACTCTATGAACTTCAGGAAGCGCTTTTCAATGTATAGAAAGTCAAGAGAGGATTAAGGGTATATCCTTATAGTCTCTAGAGTCTTGAAAGACCATAAGCTTGGAGGATATAACGAGTGCTGGTTAAAATTTACGATATGGACAAGTCTGTGGATTGCAATCATTCAATCCTGATGAAACTTGTGGTCTCTTAAGGTCACATTACTCGACCTTATGAACTTTTGTAACCGAGTCCAAGTTGCTTTCAGTCACGCCCACATTGCGTGTGTTAAGTGGCCATATGGAGAGAAGATTGACAGAGAGATGAAAAGAGTTCAACTAACAATGTGGCAGACAGTGTATAATAGAGTTTAATTGCACAGCAAATAAAGTCATTGCAATGCAAATATTCACTGTGTTCTATAGTAGTAGTTATTTCTGGAATGATTATTAACATTCACCTTATCATTTCTGATAATTTTATCCACGGAGGAAAAAAATCTAGGGAAAGGTGGGATAAAGTGGAACACCAAGAAGAAATGTAAATTAACAAATTAATCATTATAATAACAAATGTTAATAATTTTTAATGCATTGATAAATTGAAAAATTGATAAACAAAAAGTGCAATAAGTGTTTTTAAACTTATTTTGAACACCAAAATTTATAGTACTCAAAAAAAATGTTATTTATATAATATTATATTATAACATATTGTATATAATTATATTCTTTTGAGAGAGATGCTAAATGTAACAATATCAATTTGACATGTACTACTTTTGTAGATTTTAATTTTTAAAAGAGAACTTGATAGATAAATGGAATTTTAAATTTACCATGCGATCAACAATAATCGGTGTCGTGGCTGTAATTTTTCGTCATCCTCAGGTAAATATTTTTAGTGATAGTCTTTCAAATATTATGAGCAATTTCACTTGTAAATCAACGAAGAAAGTATTATTTATTGTTTTTGAGATTAAAAATTTAAACTACAAATGGTTAGAAATTAGCATTTTGCAAATTTAATTTTCTAATTTCCTAATTAAAAATTAAAGATAAAAAAAAATTACTATGCTACACTCTACTTTTTTTTATTTATTTCTGCAAAAATATTATTATTGACTTAAATAATTTCTGAATAAAACTATTTTCTACTGAGACAAAAAATTTTTTCTCTTCGTTTATAAGATTAATCATTGGATTGAGTCTATTTTTTGTTTCTTAATTTTTTAATAAAACTTTTTATCTTTTATACATCTCTAATAGTAATCAACTCTTGCAGCTGCAAAAAGATCTAACCAGTAATCTACACGTATGCACCGAGGTTAAAGTTCTCCAACAGACAACAACCTCGTAGCGATGTAACACACTAGTAGGATAGACGTAATGAGAGATAAAATGACTAGATTTCATGTTCTTACACCATAGCTACATTTTACCACGTGAGTATCTTGACGCCTTCAGCATCAACATCAGTATCATACCCAAAAGCTAAAATAATTAACGTAATAAGCGTGTAAACTTGGCGTCACGATTCGGAGAAGAATGATGTTTGGAGTCTCTAAGATGGTAAAACTTCAAACGATGGATAAAATAGCGGAACCCCATTGGAGATTTACTTTGATCTATCTTCAGTGACAGACTACCATCTTCGTTGGTATAATTGTAGTCAGAGATTGTCATTAAATAAAATAACTTGACAGGAAAATGTACGAAGTTGAGAACAACGTGACAACTGATCGATTGATGTCGAAAAGGAATTTATTGATTTGAATGAAAATGGAATTCAGACTGATGTAATTAGTGGTAATTCTTATTCAGGAGAATTAATCTCTTGATGGTTTAGATTTAAATTGAGATATAAAACTGGCTATTATTATTATTTTTATTTTGTTAATTGATAATAAATATTCTATGATTTATAATGAATGTTAAAAAAAAAAAAAAGATTGTTTATATTTTTAAATTGATTTTTAATTACACAAGAATGTTTTGTATTATTTGAATAATTTAGTTGACATGATGTTTGATAGAAAATTTATTAATCATTTTTATATAGAAAAATTAGCAGAAGTAATTTTTATTTCCTTTCATAATAACTCTACTACAAAAAATGATATTCTGAGATCAAGTATGATTTTTTTCTTTGAGCATGAATAAATAATAAATATAAAGAATTTTTGTTCTGAAAACAATGATGTATGAACAGTAGTGCTCAAAACTACTTCAAAAAATGTCTTAAATGTTGCAAATTTCAAATTTAGAAGTGTTTTACTTTAATGCATTAAAAGTATTTTAAAATGACATCACCCATTTGTTTAACACTGCAGTCATTTTTTAAACACTTTTAAGTGCATTGAAAGTGATTAAAATGCTAATTGAATGGATGACGTCATATTAAAATACATGAAGTGCATCATTGTATTAATTGATGAACAACAGAAACATCCTAACTCAAATTTTAAATATTAAAATATAAATTTAATCATTTTTTAATGCTTTAGCTTCTGAAGAATATCACTAAATACAACTTGAGATTTAGAAATGATAAAAAGTTTGAAAATAAAATTTAATGAATGGCTTAAAAATGGACCTAAAAAATGGCTCTTCCATAAGAATTGAAAAAATGTCGAGTCTAACGATATTTCAAAGTGTCAGAGTGGTCTATGGGTCATCGATCCTCCTACAAATAGCATATGTGACATCACGTTTCTTTCTCAGTGGCGCCTTTGAGTCGCGAATTTACCTTTTCTTTTTTTTCTCTAACACCTTCGAGATCGGAATGTCAAATAAAGCGACAATGTAAAGATTACTTCCCAAAGAACAAACATTATACCCACCTACATGTGGCTTCACTTTCTATGAGAAATAAATGTCTTACATGAAAGAGCAATGAAGAATGAAAGAAAAAAAAAATATACAATCCAGTAACTTGGAATCGTTGTGTACAATTATTAAACTTTCTCTTGAGATCATTTATTATCAGACTCTTTTGGCAAAGCGACAAGGCTGTTGAAGGACCGTAGAGAAAAGCATGGGATAAATAACGTAGTGTCGCAGGCAAAAAGGTGGTCGAGAGCGTGAAGCAATAGTTTATGGTAGTGAAACACACCGAGAATGGTAATGATAGATCAAGTATCACGACGCAAATAGGGATTTATCTCGAAGAATTAAAATTAATGTGAAATTTGTGATTGATATTTATTGCATACTGATCATAGAAATGTGTGGCTCTATTTTTTACTCTAATTCATAGTGTCACTATAAATTTAAAACAGCTATAACTTTTGCATCGAACATTGTGAAAAATGTTGTTTATTTTTTTTTTTTTATTGTTGTTGTTGTTAAATGTCAAGCTTATAATTCATAAACTTTTCATGACACTCTGAACTCGCGATTTAAATTGAACATAATAATTGCTAGCATGACTAAAGACTCTTGGTATACTTTTTTTTTATTCTCCATTCTATTTAAATCTAATCTATTCTAATTATCATAAAATTATTATTTATCTGCAATAATTACAAAAACATTTTTAATTTATCTTTAAAACTTTTAAATAAAATTAATTATTTAACAAATTAATTATAATATTGTTTGGAAATTTTTATAAAAAATCTGTATATCATAAATTGCGATTATTTACACATGACTTCTTCATTAATTTTTAAAAAATGATGCTATGGGGTGTGGAAATTCCTCTGATGCTGAGATAGGTATGGGTGTTGATGGTCCAATTAAATATCAATTAATCATCATCAAGCTCTCCTTAATAATCCAACCCAAAATATATTTCCAACAATTTTCATTAAATTATAATAATAATTAAAACCATCACTTAAACTGACACACTTATTAACCACAAGTTCTACTGAAATCTAATTACTCTCAATCATCATTCAGAACACTCTCTTTACAATTAAAACAATACCCAAGATTAAAATAGTCACGATTAAACCATCAATTTACATTAATCATCTCACTCTATATGCAAGTGTTTTTAATTAAACCTATAAAATATTACAAAGCCAAACTTGATGCTTGTTATCACAGACATAATACTCCAAGATCATCAAGACCAAGTACTCTAAGGGACAACTGAATTTAATCAGTCTCAATTGTGACTATAATATTTTTGATATGTTGAATGATGATTTGAACCTGCTATATTAGTTCTACTTGGCACAATCAGAGTAGAATAACCATGTGAGAGAGATTATATTGCTTAGTTGTATGATGGTTATGCTCTTAGTTTATAACTTTGAATAACACCCGCACCTATCAGCACTATACATTTTTTTTTTCCTTCTTCCTCCTCTTAGTAACTTAGAATAACCTGATCTACTATCATAATAACCCACCCTAAGACTATCCGTTAACTTGCTGTTGGATTGTCCATATATCTTCCACGACATTTCACGCCCTGATTTAGTGTAATGGACGAGAAGAATCGACCAGCTTTAATCCAGCATGTTCTAAGCCATTAACAGCTCGATAACACATTCTTAACTCCTATAGATTTATTTCGTATACTTCAACATAATCTTTGATAGTCAATAAGTATATAAGAATTTTTTAAATAATTTTTTTCCCATGTGTTATTTATTTTTTACTTCATTTTTTTTCTATTAAGAAAGGGTATGATCATCTGGGAATTTAAGTGAACGTACTAAAACCGTGGGAGAGTCCAAGGATAAAAAGAAATGAAGAAAGTTGATTGATTAAACACGTGTGTGTTAATAAAATAAATTATGGATATTTGTATATAAATTTTAATAATTATTGCATAATTATTATGATTTTTTTATCTGTTGAAGAAAAATGTTAAGTAGTTAATTTATACATTCATATGACTTATTCTTCAATGGGAGTTCCCCTTTATTATAACAATTACACGTCACGTACATACTTTACGATTCATTCCATTGATTACCGCAAGTAATTACGTTTGTGGCACACCAATATTCAAAGCAAATATCAATTACATCTTGTCTTTTATTTAATAGACTTTCAATACCACTACATATTATGAAAACCACGATTTTCTCTTTTTAAAGTTAATTTTTAGTTTTGAATTTTTAAGTTTAAAATATACAATTAGTTATAGAAAGTCCAAAAAAATTTAAGTACCAAGTACAGTTTTCGTCCCACGCTTGTTTTAAAAATAGATAAATTATTATTTAAGTCATTTATTTTCCATAAATGGAATGTAAACAATTTGAAAATTAAATTGAATTGGTTTCGTGTTAACAAATATAATAAAGATGTAAATTTTTATTTTAAAAATAACGATGGAGATGAATAATAATATTTGATATATTAATTAAATAAATTATTTAACTTTCTTTTGGTTTATTTCTTTCCTGCTTTCCAAGCAATGTCAATACTTCCTTTCTGCTTAATTTAATTAATTAATTTCACAGGCCAACGATAAAAAAAACTTTTCCAATAATTTTAACTAATTTCTATGTAATTTGGTGTGCTGATTCTGAAAAGAATAATAAAAAAAGTCGAATCTACCTCCAATTTCTCACAGTTTAATAGTAAATGAAAAAAATGTGTATTTATTTTTAGTTATGCAAATAACTTTATAGAGAAAAGATAAAAAAAATGGATTAATTGATGGATAATCCAGAAAATGAGCATTTAATATTTAGTAATTTCAATAACCTAATGTTTTTTTAAATGAACATTGTAGCCTAATAAAAAACTACATTTTTACACTGTGCTTTCTATCTAACTCTTTTTTATACTTTACTTTCTGTTTTTCAATTCAACTGCCCTATCATAATCATTCTTATTCTTTTCTCTTTTCTGTCTAAACATAAATATTTATATTTTTTTTTTCTTCTCAATCTTTTCATCACTTGTTACTCTGTTATTAAACTATAGACACTTTAGTAACTCTATTATCAACTTTTACTATTAAGCTTTGTATATTAACAAATAATTAAATAAATATTAATCCTGCAAATAAATAAGTAATAAAAAATAAATAAATGTTTGTGAACAATTAGAAATATTAATAAGATAATAACAGAATAATTTAAAAGAGTAGCTGGGAATATATTTCTGAATAATACCACAATTAATGATATTTCTACAACAAAGTGCAAAAATAGATTGATTAAATGTAGTATTAAGAATTAAGCTCCTTATTTATTATGTCAATTAACTTGAAATATTTTTCAACACTTCCAAGAAGAGAATTAAAAGATTACGACGTTTCTATAAGGAGGTATATGATGTGGAATGCAAAAAAAAAAAATGACGCTGCTTGATGGGAATATTTTCCTTGTGATAGTGTCACCTCGAGTGACAAACTCTCACGCCTTGTATGTCTGTAACATCTAGCAAGGGAGTTACATTTTAAAAGCACAGATTTATATTCAACTGGACGTTAATTGCACGAGTAGATCTATTAGCTGATGTCTCTTGAGATAGTCTTCTACCGTGCGGTAGCTTCTCGTTTGACAACGATGATGCAACGGATGTCACGTTAGTTGGCTGACCACACTCATGGCTATTTGCACCTTAGCCAGGTAGCGAAAGTTAGAACTTGACTAGTTTAAACTATTTGTTCTTTATATATTCTAACAGCTCGAGGTTTAATGTGTATATAAAATTAAATTGTAGAATACAGATAAGTTGGTGCGTGTTGAGCTAAATTGAACTTTTAACGCTTCATTGATTTCACGGATGATAAATGGCCAACTTAACTGTGCTGCACGCACCTGTAACTCCACCCACGCACAACCAAGTAATGTAATGTTGCGTGACGTCATGTGCAAATTATTTGCGGACGCGGAATTAAGCGGATGATGATAGAAAGATGAATAGACAGGTGTGCGACCTCTTATGTACATCTCTAATATGAAGATTATATAGACACGAGGTCGATAGTATACTCTAACAGATGGTAAATGAATTGATGGAAAAGCTTTTGCAATTTTCTATGCTGATTTTTTTGTACCAATATTTTTTTTTCTATTTAATGTTAAATAAATGGTAATAAATAATATTGAAAAAAATTTTTTTCTATTGATGTCATCAATGTGAATAGTCTAGAAAAATCTCACACTTGAAGTTTAAAACAAAAACAATTGTTTTCTAACTGTAAAGTATATTAAAGTTAGTCAGGAGAATATTAACAACCATTTGTTGCTCTAAAATAATTGCAAAAGCTTTGTTAATTAATGATTATGTTTAAAAATCAATCAAAAAAATATTTTGTTTATAAAAAAAAAATTTTTAACTTATTCTAAAATGATAATTGCTGAAAGTAATTATTCTAAGATTACTAAAAGTGTTATTTTAATAAATTGAGGACCCAGATAAGTGTCACACTGATGCATGGCATGCACAACTTTTTTTTATATTTAAAAAAAAATTTAATAATAAAACAAAAAATATTTATATCAGTTATTTTAGCACTGGCAAAGTTTTATCAATGTATTGATTCCCCGATAATACCAAGATATAAGCAGTTACGAATCAATTCTAATTAACGAGATATATATTGACATGTCTACTACAATTGACCAATTTAAGTCTAATTGAGTTATTGCAAAGAATAACAGGGCCAAGTTGCGTCACTGCTAACTCAAAAAAAAAATCAACGAAAAAAATTCTCACGGTATTTAATAAACATTACTATCATACAAGACTGATAATAATATAATATTAAAAATTTTTTCTTGAAAATAAATAACTAACAATTATACTCTAACTATATTCAAACTACATCATATCCGTTTACAACAATTTTAATGGATGAAAAAACATAAAACAATGTAACTAAGTGTTCTTATAAGTCAACAAGGTCAAAAACAATAGACTCAATTATTTAACTTTAAATAATTTTGCAATCATTTATGTAATTAATTAAAACAAAACAAAAAAACACAAGTCAATAAAAAAAATTGAGAAAATAAATAAAACCGAGTGTTAGTGGCAGAAGTGAGTAAACCGTCAGTAAGTCTATTAGTTCTAAAAGAAGCAAAATATTATTATTTGACATGTACTCAAACACTTCTTTACTAATGTAAATTCAAGGTACACCTAGATGATGATTATTAGCAGAGACGCAACCAGATTGCCCATTATTTCTTACAAACGAGCAATTATCCAAGTATTTATTCCACTCACCGCGCACTAACATCAATATCACTATAAAAATTATTTCATCTGGGTCATTAGAAATAATATCAACTCAAAAACCATGCCAGGATCAACAAAAAAAAAAATAACACTATCAACATTTGACTTGATTTTATCAAAGGGGAAAAAACTAAAGCAAATGAATTTAAATTTAAGGTTGATTAAAACCAAAAAACAAAAAAGTTGTAACCATTTTTGCATCAGAATGAACCTACCGTGAGCTTCAATAAATTTAGCCCAACAGCCCCAATAAGCAAGTGAGCTATTGGGTCTAATGTCCTCATCATTAAGTTCTTCATTAAATACTTGAGTTGATTCAGAACAAGATTGAAGACCATTCTGACCTTTAAATTTGGAGAGTGATTCTTCATATCCATGCTGAGTTTTTTGTTCACGATGATGTTCAGCAACAGTATCAGCAGGATCGAAGCCAAGTCTTTCTTTGTAATAAGCCTGTGTCGACATTTTTTCCTTTGGCTCAACTACTTATAACACACTATTTCAAGTTTTTTTTTTTTGTTAAATATCCAATCAACTAACACTCACGACACATGACTCTCATTTCAGTGAGAGAGCACGTGGCACTTCTTTTTTTTTTCCTCTACATACACGCACTTGTTTTATCGTAGTGAAAACTCGTTGAAAACACGTTTAGGTTTTTAGCATATATATATATATATATATTAGCTGACACTCTGAAAAATTTCCGAATGTTATCCGGAAGTGATTTCCTCTTGTCGTTCGAAAATAAAGTTCGTTCGTTATTTCGTTGAGTTACTTTCTAAAGTAAATAAATTCAATCTGTAATCATGATGTATTTTTTTTTGTCAGTTAACTAAACTTCCTGCTATATATTTTATTATGATAATTATTAAAATAATAATATTTATCCCTCTCTCTCTCTTCTTCTTCGTTGATTCTAGTTAATGCATATTTAGTTATTATTTATTAGTCTCTTGGTTAAATGAAAAAAAAATTCTCAAGTCGCGGTTAGTAAAGTCATTAGGCGATATATGGCTATGCAGGGATTGCATCCGGTATATGTGTATTTTCTCAAACCGTTCACGATAAATCCCTGTCGGTGTGTGATTATGGCACTTTGAATTCTCAGTTGGCTTTGTACTTGATCAAGAAAAATAATAATAATAATAAACTTTCGTCATATTAGTCATTAATATAACAGGCTAATGACAATAAATATCCTATCTCTATTCAACTCTTCTTCACTTTGCATACATTTATAACCGCCACTAGTATGTTGAATCTTGCATTTCCTTCCACCTTTCTCGATGCAATTCTTCAAGACCATCACTGTTTAAAAAAAGAAACAAAATAAACTCAATAAAAAGCTAACCTTCAATTGGAGGATATACTTTCAGAGAACTTTGTCGAGAGTTTGCGATTGTAATGCTATAAATTAAAGTAAATGTTAAATGAATAAAAAGCATTTAGAAGCATTAAAAATGAAGCAGAAGAAGAACGAGGGATTGATATATTTAAAAGTCATCAGTATGATGTATTTAAAAAAGGAAGGAAAAACTATATGTTACATGACGGATACACTGACTAACCGCGTGACGAAATGACCGACTGACTAAGTGACTAGAGGCTGCTATCAGGAAGGAGTGTGGACACGAGACTGAAGACTGATTCAAGTAGCCAGGACGACCGGAACGTTGGTAGAGTCGATCGGAATCCCCGCATATGGTAATCGACGAACCGCGTGTAGGTGTAGTCCCCTGGACCCGCGCAGTACGTCCAATCCTAACCTGACGCACTTCCAGTTTCAACCAATCACAACTCGTCTTTCTCCAGGGACACGAGCTTGTTCAAGTTCTTAACAAATATTATATGCATACACCACCTTAACTTTCAAAGTAATTTGCTACGGAAATGGACAATTTTATCAAGTACCAGTGGCTTGAACAAAGAATATTACACAGTCAAGAGTTGTCTACTTTCGGCAAACACTCAAACACTACGTAATCGATACCACCTACACTTTCCTTCTTCTCACTTTCACCGAATCGTTTGAATTTTCTTGCTTAAATACTACACCACTATCTTACCTACAATACTATCACTCTAAATCTTTCACAATTTTTTATATCAATCATTTTTGGACTAGTGGGTTTTGTTTTTTTTGTTGGTTTCATTCCATTTGTTAAAGTGAGTAGGATTTTTTTTCTGGTGAAATGAAAAAGAATTAGGCAAGATTTTCATGTTAGCTTGGATGCTAAACAACTGACTAAAGGTCAGTTTTGATGGTGAGCAGGTTGAGTGGTAGCTTCCAAAGTTGTCCTAAAGAGGATCACAAACAGATGGACACAGGTAGGACAGGTATTTTCAATGATGGACCAATCCAAGTATCTCTCAACATACCAACGATTATCGGCAAAGAATTTGAAACGAAGTGTAGTGTACCTAACGGGACTTGTTAAACAGCACAGGTAATTCCGGGACTCCCTGGGTACAATAACCTGCTTCGTTTTCTTCCCAAAGGACTTGTGCCAACCAAACTTAACCGTTAGCAATCTTCATTACTCTTCAATTAGCTAAATCATCATCACAAACATGAGTTTAACAATTCAAGAATTATGCAGATTTTTTTTGTTCTACTTTCATGATAGAAATAATTATAATTATTGAAGTGACCTTGGGCAGAGATGATGGGAAATATAAATAATGTGAGATGAAAAATTGAATATGTTCTTTAATTATGTATGTCAAAAATGAAGAGTGTTGAAATTTCTTTAGAAAAATACCCTAGAGACTTCCTGAGGTCTATCTATAGACATGTGAAAAAATCATGCTATCTGGTTCTTGTACATCATGTAAACACGCAGAATGTTGTATTGCTTGTTAGTCATGTAATTTGAATTACAAATAATTCGATTTTTAAAAAATAATACATTTTTTCTCAATTTTAATTGAAGCCAAGAAATAATGATTTTTAAATAATTTTAATTAATTATGATAAATAATTATTAGAAGGAATTCTTTTTTTTTTTTAATTTAAAGTAATAAGAAGATTGTTGATATACTAATAATAAGTAATTATTTTTAATTGTTATCATCATGTGACTCTATACTTAGATAAATTTGAAGATATCAAATTCATTGTATTAAGATATTTTAAAAATTATAATTAAAGCAATAAAAACTTTAAGCTTCATTTATTAGGTGAAACCGAAATAATTTTTTTAACGAATTCAATATTTTACTTTTATTTAACAACAATTAATATTTAATTGCTATTAAATTTAATATTTTAATTTCTATTTCTGATTTAACATTTTAAAAACCAGGTTTTGTAATTAAATTCATTAAAATAAACATTCTTAAATTATTCATTATTTACTGTCAAATAATATCAAAAAATGAAGTTAAATAAATTTTTGTAAAATAATTTCACTTGATAATAGTAATTATCGTCACTATTATGTAATAAAGATAATTGTTTGTAAATAAATTTAAAAGCTTGAAGTTTACATTTTATTAATTATTAATTGATTTACCCATCTTAAGAATCGTATTCAATCGCCGCAATTATTACTGGCATTTAATAAAAACATATTTCCTTTAAAAAATTTAATCTAAATTGTTATAAAAATAAATTATTCCCAATAAACAATAAAAAAAATAGAACTGAATGTTTAAATAAAAATAGCAAAGATGTAAATATGTAATGTAATTCATCTATAAACGAAATAAACTTAATGAATAATAATCCGAATAATCATTCAATTAATTTTCCGAGGATTTAAATGTCTGTTTTACAAGTGTGGTGATTAAGATGCTGTGTTGATATATAAAATACGAAAAGCGATATAAGTACTGAAGATCTCACATATAATAAGAAAATCTTTCTTCTTTGCCTTAAAGCGAATATATAAGGAAAAAAGGCAAATGTTCGCTCTATCTGCGGTGTGCCAACGCATAATAATGCAATTACGCCGAAAGGGATATGGAGAATGATTGTTAGGTTTCTCCTCTGACAAACTGGATTACCATACTCCTCTCTTAGTAATGGACAGTAAACTCTTGGATCAGCACATAGGTCGAAGGCGTGCCCAAGGAATTCGCGTGCTCGCATTCACGTTTTTGCTGTTACACACTCCTGTATTGTCTTGACTACTTCAGTTTACTCCAGACAAAACAGAAATAAATCGTCTTGATCATGCGCAAAATTTTAAACTCCATTTTTCAAACTATTTTGATTCAAGAAAAATATTTTTTAAATAATTATGTTATTTTTAAATTTAAAATAATAATAAACAACAAAAACATGCATTAAATGATATTAATAAATTTCTTTAAAATTATTCAAGCAAATAATGTTTTATTGGATATTAATTTAAATTAATGCAATTAATTTAATTATTTTTTAAAGAAATCATTAAAAATACTAAATGTCTTATTTAATGAATTAAAAGGTAGTATTACCTTTTTTATATTACATAAATTTAAATTAATTGTTTATTAGAATTGATAAAATTCTAAAAAAAGAAATTATTTAATTGAGAAATATGTTTTAATTAAGTAGTGGAATACTTTATAGAAAAATTAAATTCCAATAAATCATTAATAAGTCAATGGCTAAGATTTCATAATGAATATAGACTCAAGTATTCAGCAATGTCAAGTAAATGATGACAAATTATTTGCCAATTAATAAATAAAAATAATATTATTAGATTTATATTTTAAAAATTAAAGACAATTATTTTATTCGTTTACTCAATAAACAGATCAATTTATGGTAAATTATTGTTAATTATTCTTGTTATTAAACAATAATTAAAATAAAACATAAATGACTAATGTCAATGAATTAAATAATTTCCATAGAAACAGCTGAAAATACACACAGCTGTCTTCCATATACAAAACACAATAACATCCACGTGCGTAAAGTTTACTGCCTTATTTCAACTTAAATTCCCTCACCCATTCCCTCTTCATTGTCTTTAACTCTTCGTTCTACCTTTTAGTTTATTCTTTCTCTACACATTACATATTTCTAAATGCATGAGTGCACGTGTAGGCGCGCAATGACTACTTCCAAGAACATAAATCTTGGCAGGAAGTGAGAATTTTTTTTTTGTTCAATATCTTCTACTGTGTATTAAACAAAAACAAAAACAAAAAAAAAAAGAAACTTGTGGAATTATTGAATCAATATGGTAAAACATGATGACGAAAGCAATGTTAAAATTTAAATGATAAAAAAACATGTTGAGAAGTCAGTGAATCGAGTACTGACCTGCCTCAACGCCGGTTGCATCAAGTTGAGGCGAATGGGCGTAAGAGGAATGTCCAACGTGCCTAGACGCCAGGCTATTTTCATCGACCCCTTCTTTTTATTCTTCTTACTCTTTTCTCTACATGTAAAAAGCAAGAACAAATCAAAAATACCACTAATAAATAGCACAGCCAATCCAAATGATTGGTTCCTTACCCTAAGTGTATATTTTTGGTTGTCAGACATATATTGTTGTCCTTGAACCGTATGAAGACCACAAACCTTCAGGTATCTAACGCAACACATAGATCACTAGTCTATGAAGAGTTATTTTGTGCAGAAAAAAAAAATAAAAATTGCCATACATTGCAAACTTCAAACGATGAAAACAAATTTTCAAGAAGACTTTAGTTGACTTTTTGGAGTACAATGACTTGTAGACAATCATAAATAAAGATGTAAAAGGAAAATAAATTCCATGACAAGAATAACATTTTATTTGTTTTGTCTCAACCATCAGGCTTAAATGATTTGTTTGAACAGACATTTTTTAATCAATCTTTAGAAAGAATTTTGAGTTTATCATTTGTAAGTTGGATTTAGAAGCATCTTTTAGCAACTTAATTTATTGTTGACAGTGAATATATTATTATTAAATGACTCAATTTAATATTTGTAGGTAGTAAATGATAAAAATATGTGTAGATATGATGAATAAAATTTGCAATTCTGACATCAACCTTCCTACAACTGTAATAAAAAATTCGCAAAACAAAAATAAATAACAATAAATTGGAAATGAAAGTATCAATTGTTACTGAATAAATTATTTTAAAAATATTTTCAAAAGTTGTGCATTTAATTATTAGGGTTCTACCCCAATTTTATGAAAAAAAAAAAAATGTTTTAATTATTAGCACATGTTGAGGATGTTGAAAATAGATAATCTAGATTGAGGGAAGATAGAAAAATCGATGAGAAATATTTTTTTTAAGTAATTGTAACACATTTCGTTAACTATATTATTATGTACCAATGATAAATTTTTTCGTATTATATTGTTAAA